GGCATATCATTACTTTGCCATCATATCTGTACCATAACTTGACTATCAGTCATATCATTACTTTACCATCATATCTGTAACATAACTTGACTACCAGTCATATCATTACAATCACATCCATACCATAATTGACTATTTGATAGTCAAGTTATGGTACGGATATGATGGTAATGATATGACTGTCATATCATTACCATCATATTCATGCCATAACTTGACTATCAGTCATATCATTACTTTACTATCATATCCGTACCATAACTTGACTATCAGTCATACCATTACCATCATGTCTGTACCATTACTTGATTATTAGTCATATCATTACTTTACCATCATATCCATACCATAACTTGATTATTGGTCATGTCATTACTGTACCATCATACCCTTACCAAAACTTGACCATCAGTTCATGTTTTGATCTGTTTATCCAATCATATATTTTGTAACTATGTCCATTTTATTTCTGTCAGTCCCTGCATTTATGTATTTTAATCTGCTTGTTAGAAAGCAGATTTTCTTACTGCCCTTTGCTATGATGTATTAGTTAGCAGATTTAAATTTGTATAATGTTTAGAGTTGAAACTAAACAAAAGTATAGTTTTCAGTCTTGGTGTATTTTGTAATTCTCAATATAATTTTATCTCAGTGTATGAGCTATGAATAGTCTCAGCTGATTTTTAAGGACATTTACTGCATATACTCTCAGATTTTAAATAGTACTTTCAGCTGCAACTATATGTCCCAAGTCTTAGCTTTTTGATCAAACTTGCTTCTACTTGCAACTTCCTGACTTGGCTCTTCACTTACTACTAGTCATAAACCTTATCTGTATTTGTTTGTGATTATTTTTCATTCAGTACAGTAGTATTTAATAGTAGGGATCATCATGAAACAGAATGGTGACCATAAACATCTCCCGTTTAAAACCACCTTTAAAATGTCTAATATTAACAATGACTACTTCACATTATTGGCTGAACAAAACTAAAGGTGGTTGTACTAATAAAGCTGCCTAAATTACTATATATGTATTTATGGAGTGAATCAAAGTTTCAGTATTTGGATGAATTTTCATCTAAGTAAGTAAGTGACGTTTATAGACAAGCAGACAGAAAGACTGACAAACTTTATCGCTCTACTTCTCTCACAGAACTCCTATGTCCGGGGTCCCAATTATTCCTTTGTTATACTAAAAAAGATAGTAGTGTGTGTTTGTGTGTGTGTGTATATATATATATATATATATATAT